CCGCCCCCCCCCCCCCCGCCTCCCCCCCCGCCCCCCCCCGGCCCTCTCCGGCTGCCTGCCTCCTGCACTGCTCACTCTTCTAAACAATGCTGGGAGTGCGATGGGGGAAGGTCAGGGCAGAACACACGTTGCATCTATAGCCCCAGCTTTTTTTAATTGCAGTATGAGACAGAGTATACTGGGCATCTGGGACCTGGGCTCTCCTTCAGGGTCTGCTCACAGAGCTACAGGGAGCTGTGTGACCTGGAAAGAGCGGGCCCTGGGTTCCCCCGTGCACTGCAGGAGGAGCGGGCCTGGCGGAGCCCCAGCCTCTCCTGGCCCCGGCCTAATGGCCCTGCCTTCTCTCCCCCAGGCGGCTCCACTGCACCCGCAACTACATCCACATGCACCTGTTTGTGTCCTTCATCCTGCGCGCCTTGTCCAACTTCATCAAGGATGCCGTGCTCTTCTCCTCGGACGACGTCACACACTGCGATGCCCACAAGGTAACATGCCTGCGTGCCCCAGGGTGTGGCCGGGCCTGCCTGCCTTCCCCAGCCTGACTTTGGAAAGGTGGCAGCCTGATTGTCCTTCCCCTGAGTCTGTACTAAGGCTGCACTTAATGCCTAGGGTGAAGGGGCAGCGCTGGTGCTGGCCAGGAGGTTCAGGGAGAGTCCCATGTCCCCGCAGGCACACTCTGGGTCACATGCGAGAGTGGTTTGTCGGAAAGCCCATGGGGGCTGCCATTCAGCTCCCAGCGTCCTGGAGCGGATTCACTGCTCTGGGAACTAGATGTGTAGCAAGACTCCTCTTATCCTACTCCTGCTGCGTCCCAGCTGTAGTCGGATGGCCAGGTCTAGGGAGGGTTGGGGTTGGTAGCAAAAAGAAAAGGGTGAGCGTATGCCTGTGAGTCTGCAGTAAAACAATCAGATTTTGTTAAAGCCAACCCTCTTCCTCCTCCTGGATTCTCAGATGAGTCTTAATTCATTGCACTATCACCCCGAGTGTCAACTGGAAATCCCTTTTGCTGGACATAATGGGAAACTGCATGTCAGTGGCTTAAACAGATGGGATTTTTCCCTCATAAGCAGTCGACACACGGGCAATCCAGAGGTGGCACAGTGGCTCCACGATGCCATGGTGAACACAGTCATTTTCCCTCTTTCTGCTCTGCCATCCTTGATCCCACGCTTTATATCACACGTTTGCAATATGGCTGCTGCAACCCCAGGCCTCACCTCCCTGTTCCAGACAAGAAGGAGTAAAGTCAAAGTTAAATAGTTTTTTCTGTTTGGGAGGCTTTGCCTTTTCGTTTGGGAAAGAACCCCCTCCCCGAGACTCCTATCTTACCTCTCACTGGCTAGAACTGTGTCATGTGACCACACCTAACTGCAAAAGAAGCTGGGAGATTGAGTTTTTACTATCATCGTCACGGCAGAGCAAGCAAGGGATAAAGGGACTGGACATTGAGATTCATTCAGTCAACCAGCCTGCCACTTCCCACCACTCACGTCTCTAATTCCTTATAGATGCGTTAACTTTATATTGTTTACAGTTTTGTGTGTGTGTGTGTGGGTGTGTGTGTTCTCTGACTCAAGCTGAGCGGTCCCTCAATAAGGGCCCAGGTCTCTCAGGGAGATTTCCAGGATGAAATAAGAGCCAGAGACTGGGAGTCAGGAGGTAAAATTCAGGCCCCACCCCATCACTGACCAGCCGTGGAGAAATCCAGCAGAGCCCGGCAGGAACCTTCTCGGCTTCCTCCGAACATCAGACTCAGAGCCAACCACAGGCCGTGCATGGTATCAGAGCCTCTGGAAGGCCACAGGGCAGCACTGGGCACTCCTCTTGCATGGAAGTGTCCTTGCGGCTCTCCACGCAGAAGTCCTCGGGCCGTCCGGGGGTCCTCTCTCCAGGGGAAAGCTCAGTGAAGGGAAGGAGGCCCTCATGGCGCTGGTATGGGAGCTGTACTGGCTTCTGTGACGCGTATTGACCATTTTGACTGAGCCTGCTGGCTGCGGACTTCCACTCCCTGGGGAACTCTGTGGGTCTGGTCCTCTGGGAGCAGAAGGTCACAGGGGATGGCCATGAGCCCAGAGGCTGGCTCTGCGGCCTGACCCCTGACCCGTACAAGCTTCGTGCCCCACAAACCCGCAGGCCTAGTTTCCAGGGATCCCTACAAGGGACGTGGCTGTTATAAGAGCCACTGATCAGGAAAGGCCAACACCGTGGCATCCCCGTCAGGTATTCAGAGTCTCCAGTCCAGATGCAGTGTACTGGCCTGGGGCCATTTTTACTGCAATCAATATCATCTGCTAACGTAGTTGGCGCGTCCCTTCTTCATCTGTTTCCAGGAAACTGACCTTGGAAAGCATTTTGTTAACCCTTTGCTCAGAAATCCCTTTTCCTCTCTAGGCCTCAGATCCCTCATCTGAAAAATGAGGAAGTTGGGAGTTGGGCCATATCTGACCCAGTTTTACATCTGGCAGCCAGTTCCAGAATTTTATGCAGTTCCTGCTTGTGTGATGCCCATTGACCATCTTGACCGAGCCTGCTGGCTGCGGACTTCCACTCCCTAAGGAACTCTGTGGGCCTGGTCCTCTGAGAGCAGAAGGCCGCAGGGGATGGCCATGAGCCCCAGAGGCTGACTCTGTGGCCTGGCCCCTGACCCGTCCCACAGCCTGTCCCTTCCTTTGGGCCTGGGCACCAGAGGGAAACCGACAGTCGCCAGCCTGGACCTCAGCCGCCTCTCCCTGTCCAGGTGGGCTGCAAGCTGGTCATGGTCTTCTTCCAGTACTGCATCCTGGCCAACTACGCCTGGCTGCTGGTGGAAGGTCTCTACCTCCACACGCTCCTCGTCGTCTCCTTCTTCTCAGAAAGGAAGTGCCTCCAGGGTTTCATCGCGCTCGGATGGGGTATGTTTCTGCATGGGGACAGTGGCCGTGTGTCTGTGGGAAAGGGTGCTGAGTCAGGAGGATCCGGCTTCTCGTTCCAGCCCCACACTTCGTTAGTTAACTTGTGCAATCTTAGACAAGTTGCTTGATGTTTAACCCTCGGGCCTCAGTTTATTTATCTGTCAAATGGGAAATAATAGCTAAAATTTAGCCCCAATTCCTAGCATCCAAAGCCTTGTACAATTTGATACCACCCAACACTTGCTGCCTCATCTTCCTTAGACGTCCCATTCATATGTCCTTGTTCCTTCTTCCTTTCTGTGGCAGTCAGGTGCTTTTGACCATAGGTATTAGAAAATCTGGCTTAGATAGGTTTTAAACATAAAAGAAATTAATTGGCTCATATAACTGAAAAGTCCAGGGATCACCAACTTCAGGTGAGGCTGAATCCAGCAGCTCAAGAACATTTCTTTCTGTCTTTCTACTGTGCCTCTGTAACATCAGCTTTCCTTTTAGACCGGTGCTCCCAGTGTAACTGCTGGCGGCTTCTGGGCTACTGACTTCCTTGTTACATCTAATGAGAGGAAGAAGGGGGCTATGTCCCAGCATGCCCAGCAAATATTCTGAGGTCACTCTGATGGGAGCAGCTTGAGTCTCATACATACCCGTGAACCAATCACAGGGGCCCGAGGGAATGGAAGACACTGACTTAAGCTACTCAAACCATGTGACTTCCCAAAGGAAATTCAGGATTCAATTTCTAGGAAGGAGGAAATGGTAGCAAGACAGCCAACTGCAGGCCCCGTTACCTCTCTCCCCCTTTCCTTTCTGGGTCGATGCAGATGACAGCAACTCTCATTTCTTGGATGCTTACTTTGTGCCAGGCATTGAACTCAGCACTTTCCATGGACTATTTTTAATCACCACAATAACTCCAAGAGGCCTCTCAGAGAAACCTCGGCTCAGAGATGTGACATAACATGCTCAGGTCTCCTGTAGACAAGATCAGACCCAGGATTCAGACCAAGGCCTGTCTATTTCCAAAACCTCTTAACTTTTACTCTTCTATTAACAAACATCCATCCATACATGCATCCCTTCATCCATCCACCCTCCTGTCCACCCACCCATCCATCCATCCATCCATCCATCCATCCACTCTATCCATCCATCCATCCATCCATCCACCTATCCACTCGTCCATCCATCCATCCATCCAACCATCCATCCATTCCATCCATTCATCCATTGCTCATTTGATAAACATATGTGAGTTACCCACTGGGCTCTAGACAGACAGCCAGGTTCCTGTGAGTGACTCACAAGCTTAAAAGGATAGTCATGTGTATCTGCCATTTGCTCCCTTTGGTTTCTTCTTGGTGCCTTTGATTAAGAAGTGCCCCTGCCAGGAATGCCGTCCGCTGTCTTTTCTGCTTGTCTAAATCCTTACTTGCAAGGGCCCTGTCTCCTCATCAGGGAAGTCACCTGAGCTGGCAGAGCTCCCTGCACCCTCCTGCTTCTGAACTTTGGCAGCCTGATTAACACATGACCCTCGGCCAGCGGGCGCTGTAGGGCTCTGCTGATCTCTGGATTTCTGCATAGGCCAGTGGTCCCAGAGCGCCTGGGCACCAGGGGCCCGCCTTATGCAGCTGACTCCGCAAAAAAATTCCCCGGTTTGGAGCCCAACTCACTGAGCCTTGAATCCCAGATCTGCCAAGATTTCATCATCTGAACACGGACAGTTTCGTCATCTCTAATATCAGGATCATCATTTATTCGATGTTCTTTGTGCTCAGAAGGGCTTAGAGAGATTACAAAAAAAAAAACAAAACAAAAACAGTTCCATCACTCAAAGGGTTTGTAGTTTGGTGGGGAGACAAAATTGCACTGTGATACGCTCTCTGTCACAGGTGTTTGGCAGGTTTGAATGAGATACTGAGAGCCTTCCTTTCGTCCTCAAGTATTTATTGAGCAGCTACTATACTCCAGGTCCTGGAGGCAGAGCCGCCCGTAGAACGGCAGTGGTTCCTTCCCTCTCGGCCTCTCTGCCTGCGCAGCCCCAAGGAGACGGTGAAGGCTCAGAAGGTCTGAAGCGGCCTTTCTCTTGCAGAAGCAGTGACCCCCCTCAATTTTTACTCAACTCATTTCCCCAGAGATAGGTTGCTTAAATGAGTACATGCTACCTGTAAAACTTTGCAAAGCAAAAAAAACGTTTTTTAAGTAGAAAAAAATTACCCTAGTCCCATCTAGTGAACATTTTCTAGGCTTTCCTTCCAGAATTTTTTTCCTGCTCACAGTTTTCCCCACAGTGTGGTCATTCTGTCTGTAGAATTTTGAATCTTGCTTCTTTCCATTAACACATAAGCTTGTTCTGTATTCTTTCAACCTTCCATAAACATTTTTAACTACTCAATGGATGTATATTTTTTTTTTGAAGATTGGTCCTGAGCTAACATCTGTTGCTAATCTTTCTCTTTTTTTTTTTTCTCCCCAAAGCCCCAGTACATAGCTGTATATCCTAGTTGTAAGCACTTCTATGTGGGATGCCACCACAGCATGGCCTGATGAGCGGTGTGTAGGTCCGTACCCAGGATCCAAACTGGCAAACCCCCGGCTGCCAAAGAGGAGTGTACAAACTTAACCACTACGCCACCAGGCCGGCCCCTCTGTGGATGTATTTAATCAAACACCTATTATTTGGACATTTAGGTTGTTTCTAATTTTTCACTATTATAAATAACACAGTGATGAATATTTTATGGACAAAGCTTATTCCATGTGTAATATGGAATCCTAGAGTTGGGATCACTGAGTCCAAAGGAGAGAATGCTTTTAAGGTTTTTAATACTTGTCGAGGCTTTTAGTTTTTCAAGGTGACTGGGGTGTCAGTTTGTGCCCAGAAAAGAGTGATACTTCTGGCTTTTCTGGGGATGAACCAAACTCCTACTTACTGAGTGAACTTCAATTGGTGGTTCTCCAGCTGGAGCCAGCTTCAGAGTCACATGAGGGCGTGTCAACCCCAGCTGGGTAGCCCCACCCTGAGTCTCTGAGCCCCTGGGCCAGGAGTGGGGCCTGTGACTCTGCCTTTCTAACAAGGCCCCAAGGGACCTGGATACGCTGGTCCAGGGACCACACTGGGTACCCTTGTTTTGTCCACAGCAAATTATCCCAGAGCCTGAGATTGTCTGCCAATAATTTATTTAACACAGCTTCACTGTGCGAATTATAATTTGTAGTAATAATACAGGCACACCTCGTTTTATTGTGCTTCATTTTTATTGCACTCTGCTGATGCTGTGTTTTTTACAAATTGAAGGTTTGTGGCAACCCTGCATCAAATAAATATGTCGGCGCCATTTTTCCAACGGCATTTGCTCACTTCATGTCTCTGTGTCACATTTTGGTAATTTTCACAATATTTCAAACTTTTGCATTATTATTTTTTAATTTATTTTTGCATTATTTTGCATATTGGTGATCTATGATCAGTGATCTTTGATGTTACTATTGTCATTGTTTTGGGGCACCACCAACTGTGCCCGTATAAAACAGCGAACTTAGTCTATAAATGTTGTATGTGTTCTGACTGCTCCAACCAACCAGCCATTCCTCCATCTCTCTCCCCCTCCCCAGGCTTCCCTATTCCCTGAGACACAACAGTATTGAAATTAGGTCGATTAATAACCCTACCATGGCCTCTAATTGTTCAAGTGAAAGGAAAAGTCACGTCTCTCACTTTAAATCAAAAGCTAGGAATGATTAAGCTTAGTGAGGAAGGCGTGTCCAAAGCTGAGATGTGCCAAAAGCTAGGCCTCTTGTGCCAAACAGTTAGCCAAGTTGTGAATGCAAAGGAAAAGTTCTTGAAGGAAATTAAAGGTGCTACTCCTGTGAACACATGAATGATAAGAAAGCAAAACAGCCCTAATGCTGATATGGAGAAAGTTTTAGTGGTTTGGATAGAAGATCAAACCAGCCACAGCACTCCCTTAAGCCAAAGCCTAATCCAGAGCAAGGCCCTCACTCTCTTCAATTCTGTGAAGGCTGAGAGTGGGGAGGAAGCTGCAGAAGAAAAGTCTGAAGCAGCAGATTTTGGCTCATGAGATTTAAGGAAAGAAGCCATCTCCATAACATGAAAGTGCAAGGAGGGTCCAGCCCCGTGGTCAAGCAGTTAAGTTCGTATGCTCCACTTCGGCGGCCCAGGGTTTCACCGGTTTGGATCCTGGGCGTGGACATGGCACTGCTCATCAGGCCATGCTGAGGCGGCGTCCCACATAGCACAACCAGAGACACTCACAACTAGAATATACAACTATGTACTGGGGGTGCTTTGGGGAAAAGAAGAAGAAGGGAAAAAAAAGAAGATTGGCAACAGTTGTTAGCTCAGGTGCGAATCTTTAAAACAAACAAACAAACAAACAAACTACAAGGGGAACCAGCAAGTGCTGATGTAGAAACTGCATCAAGTTCTCCAGGAGATCTGGCTAAGGTAATTCATGAAGGTGGGTACACCAAACAATAGATCTTTAATGTAGATGAAACAGCCTCATATTGGAAGAAGATGCCATCCGGGACTTTCACAGCCAGAGAGGAGAAGTCAGGTCAGTGCCTGGCTTCAAAGCTTCAAAGGACAGGCTCCCTCTCTTGCTGGGGGCTAATGTGGCTGGTGACTTTAAGTTGATGCCAGTGCTCATTTACTATTCTGAAAATCCTAGGGCCCTTAAGAATTATGCCAAATCTACTCTGCCTGTGCTCTATAAAGGGAAAAACAAAGCCTGGATGACAGCACATCTGTTTACAACATGGTTTAAGCCCAGTGTTGAGACCTACTGCTCAGAAAAAAGATTCCTTTCAAAATATTACTGCTCATTGAGAATGCACCTGGTCACCCCAGAGCTCTGATGGAGATGTACAGTGAGATGAATGTTGTTTTCATGCCCGCTAACACAACATCCGTTCTGCAGCCCAGGGATCAAGGAGTAATTTCAACTTTAAGTCTTATCATTTAAGAAATCCATTCCGTA